AAATAATATCGGAACTGAAATATATTATTATACTGATAAAAAGTCGGGATATTACATTAGATACACCTATCGTGAGTAATCGAAGGCCCTGAGTGCGCGATTATTCACAACCCGAGTATAGACAAAAATCCGATCCGTCATCAGCTATTGATACGGAAGTGGTCATCAACCCAGGCGAGTCCGACAAGGAAGAGGACGATAGTCTCGACATATGGCTGGAAAACATGCTGGAGGAGCCAACAAGTCCAATATACTGGCCATCATGCGTACGAGATTGGCCAAAAGGGTGTGGTCCACAGGCCAAGCTAAAGCCTAAGAAGCGCAAGACCAAACGAGCACAAAGGAAACACAAGGCGAAGACTAAAGAATCATACTGTTGGTGTAAACCTTGTACAAGGAAGAGACGAGCACGAAAGAAGGAGGCTAGAAGGCGTGGTTTGCGATGGGTTGACAAAGGATGGTGGATACCGGTGGACGGTTGTGAGAGGTTAAAGGGTTGGGATCCATGGCACGAACCAACGGTGACGATCGCCGACGAGAAGGGCGACGACGATCGGCTAATGGGTTAATGGCGTGCATCGGCCCATGATGCACGCGGTTGGACGGAACAGGACGATGTATGCGCGGAGTAGCGGACGTGGTAGGGTGCGCCGTAGGCGATTGGGGCGCGGACAGTGGCCGGGACGCGCGGGGCCTGGAAAGCGATGAAGGGGCGTGCGCGTGGGCGCGCGAGTGGAGTCCGGACGCGGGCAGGTACCTAAGCCTTGAGGGCTTAGGCATGCAGGAGGTACACGCGCGCGAGATAGACGGCGAGCGCGGGGGGCGCGCGATGGCGCGCGCGTACGAGTCGGACAACCCAGGCCGCGCTAGACTAGGAGTAGCGGGGGCGGTGGCCAGCGCGTGCGAAACGGACAAGGCGCGCGATGCCTCGCACGCCAAGGAATAGGCAGCGCGAGTTGGCACGCGAAGGAAGGCGGCTGAAAGACTTGGGCGTGTGGATTGGAATTGTTTGGAGTGCAAGCCAAGCAAGATCAAGATCTAGTCAATTTTGGACTCTAGATATTTAGTTTCCTTCTTGCAAAATAATATCTAGAATGTTTAGGTTATTTAATATTTTATTGCTTTAATATGTTTCCTAGGTAGATTAGAATTAGTCATAGTTATGATCTATAAATAGGGATCATCCCTCATTGTTTTTGATGTCTTGGAATTGATGAAATAGAAAAGGAACGTTTGTTCAAATCGTGTGTTAGGGTTCGTGAGAATTCGATCATGCAACCGAATTGGTGAGGCTAAGACCCAAGCCAGTTCAACGATTTAGAGAGGCTAAGACCCGATCTATTTCGAGAGTGTAGCGAGGCTAATACCCGAGTGAACTCAAGTATCGTGAGAGAGTTAGGCTAATAACCGAGTCGGTCACACCTATCGTCGAGAGCAAGGCCGTGGCGAAGCCGTGATCGAGACAAGTCGAGGGAACGCAACACCCGATCCGTCGTCATTGGTGCTTTCATTGAGAGTGATTGATTGGGTGTTCGTGAACTTTTCCTATCCCTTTCTTTTTCTTTTTTGGTCGATTTGGGGGTTCGAATTTCTTCGAATTTTTACCCAAAAAAATTTTCGAATTTTTGTCTTAAAAAAAAAAGTGTCATCTAGTCCTTTTGTTTGATTTTTTTTCGGTTATTACCTTTTTGTTGAAGGGGCCGAATTTCTTTTGTTTTTCTTTTCTTTTTGGTTTGACTTGTTCGAATTATTTTTAGAGTCTAAAAAAAAAAAATTATTATGTCTTATGTGCCAATGGACGAGATGGATTGGGAAGATCTCGAACTATTGGAGAGTTTGGAGAGAGAACTTACCCCATGGGAGAGCACATATCTAGACGAACTCCATGAACGAAGAAATCGAGAAGCATACGAGCGACAACTCATGGAAAGGCGAGGAGCAAGAGAGGGTGAAGTTCAAAACCGTGAAGATGATGGTGCGCTTAATTTTCTAATCCTTGAGGACAAGGAAAATCTTGAAGAGGAGGGGCATGATACGTAAGTGGTCATCAACCCAGGCGAGTCCGACGAGGAAGAGGACGATGGTCTCGACATATGGCTGGAAAACATGCTGGAGGAGCCGACAAGTCCAATATACCGGCCATCATGCGTACGAGATTGGCCAAAAGGGTGTGGTCCACGGGCCAAGCTAAAGCCTAAGAAGCGCAAGACCAAACGAGCACAAAGGAAACGCAAGGCGAAGACTAAAGAATCATACTGTTGTTGTAAACCTTGTACAAGGAAGAGACGAGCACGAAAGAAGGAGGCTAGAAGGCGTGGTTTGCGATGTGTTGACAAAGGATGGTGGATACCGGTGGACGGTTGTGAGAGGTTAAAGGGTTGGGATCCATGGCCCGAACCAACGGTGACGATCGCCGACGAGAAGGGCGACGATGATCGGCTAATGGGCGAATGGCGCGCATCGGCCCATGATGCGCGCGGTTGGACGGAACAGAATAATGTACGCACGGAGTAGCAGACGCGGTGGGGTGCGCTGTAGGCGATTGGGGCGCGGACGGTGGTCGGGACGCGCGGGGCCTGGAAAGCGATGAAGGGGCGTGCGCGTGGGCGCGCGAGTGGAGTCCGGACGCGGGCAGGGACCTAAGCCTCGGGGGCTTAGGCATGCAGGAGGTACACGCGCGTGAGATAGGCGGCGAGCGCGGGGAGCGCGCGATGGCGCGCGCGTACGAGTCGGACAACCCAGGCTGCGCTGGACTAGGAGTAGCGGGGGCGGTGGCCAGCGCGTGCGAAACGGACGAGGCGCGCGATGCCTCGCATGCCAAGGAATAGGCAACGCGAGTTGGCGCGCGAAGGAAGGTGGCCGAAAGACTTGGGCGTGTGGATTGGAATTGTTTGGAGCGCAAGCCAAGCAAGATCAAGATCTAGTCAATTTAGGACTCTAGATATTTAGTTTCCTTCTTGCACAATAATATCTAGAATGTTTAGGTTATTTAATATTTTATTGTTTTAATATTTTCCTAGGTAGATTAGAATTAGTCATAGTTAGGATCTATAAATAGGGATCATCCCTCATTATTTTTGATGTCTTGGAATTGATGAAATAGAAAAGGAACGTTTGTTCAAATCGTGTGTTAGGGTTCGTGAGAATTCGATCATGCAACCGAACTGGTGAGGCTAAGACCCAAGCCAATTCAATGATTTAGAGAGGCTAAGACCCGATCTATTTCGAGAGTGTAGCGAGGCTAATACCCGAGTGAACTCAAGTATCGTGAGAGAGTTAGGCTAATAACCGAGTCGATCACACCTATCGTCGAGAGCAAGGCCGTGGCGAAGCCGTGATCGAGACAAGTCGAGGGAACGCAACACCCGATCCGTCATCAGCTATGCACGACGCGCTGCTGGCGTGCGCATGCTGCCGCGTGCTGGCAAGCCGCTGCCGGGCTGGCGCTGCACCGCTACGTGCGGGCAGGCCCTACGGTCGACCCATCGCCGGCCGTCTGGCAACATTTTCCGGCAACTATGACTTGGCGGACATGAAATGACTAAATATGCATGAATTGCTCGGAGTGCTCGGTTAAATAGTGACTTGGCTCGGGAAGGGTTTAAATAGCACTTCCGAGGGCATTACGACTTTAAACATGGGTCGAACAACATGACTTATACGTGATCTTGCTAACATGAACGTAAAATAACATAAAGAAGGTTAATACGAATGTACCCTTTCAAACGCTCAGCAAAAGCACCAAAACGTGCGCGTGCTAGCTTGATGTGCTCGGCTATGCGCGTGTGCTCGTGAGCTTCCACCCGATAAGACGTGTACTTGTACAATGATTAAGACAAACTATTTTCCTTCGGATTTCCCTCTATAATGCTCTCGGTTTTTGCATGAAAATTCTTGAGGAAAAACTCTAAATTTTACTATATAAAATAGGTAGAAGATAAAGGTGAAAATGAAGGTAAAATGTGGTAACGACACTTGCTCACGCCGTGTGCTTCCGTGGCCTTCTCTTTGCCGAGTCATGGGGCTAGGTGGCGTGGGATGTGCTCGGTCATCAAGTACATGTGCTTAGTCATCCCATGAATAGCTCAAATCATGCCATGTGCTATAAGCAAGTAGGTGACAAGGACTTGCAACTTGCCATATTTTATTCCAAGCAAGCCTATCCTCACAGCAATGACTTAGAATAAGATGCTTGGACTTAGCATAATCATGGCATTAACTAACCATAACCTTGCTATGGACGGTAGCTACCGCGCATGGCGCGCGCGCACACGGCACGGCGTGCGTCGCTCTCGGCGGTAATACGCGTACTTGCGAGCGACTAGGCTTAATACTTGACTTAGAAAATTCAATACTTAACATGAACATAGCTTCGAAATTTAATTTGAGCATTCTTGACTTCGAACAATTAATCCCAACTAATAACATCCATTTATAAAATAAACAGTCCAGAAATTAATTATCGAACTAACTCGGTTAACAAATAAACCGAATAAACATTCAACTTAAAGTCGAACTTATGGACTGGAAGCTGAAATAAATATTATTAACAAAAGGAAATACATCACTTTTATTAATAACATACTGGGTTATTGCATGCGAAACCTTGAACAAAAATCTGGCATGACGAAGGCCTTCGGGCTGGCCAGTCTCGAGTCTCCACGACTAAGGAATTTGGTATTAGGATGAACTCATTTGAATTTTCACTTGCTACATTCGTTTGATGATTGTAGGTATCTACGGAGTACTCTTTGTCGAATTATTTATTGAATCTTGGTTTTGTGAAATTCTTGTCTACCGTACATTTGAGTGGATATTTATGTCCTTTATTATTGAGAAAAAAGGCTTAATTGTGGATTAAGGTGTGATATAGTAACACGTGGATATGTTTGATCGTTTTGATGCATCTATTGCCATTATTGATATTGGAACCGTATATTTGATGATATGGATAGACTACGACTCATGAACTTTGCTTGATATTTGCTGAGGAAAACACATGAACAGATGTACTGATACTTAGATACAGCATGGACTGCTTTGTTGAAATAAGGAATGGATAGCAGGGAATAATCGAGCAGAAGTCATCGTGTATACAGGAAAATGAGGTTGAAAATGTGTTTGATGATTTAGTGATACGCTAGATATTTTTATGATTATCTTGATCGTGTAACTATATTCTTGGTGATGCTAATTAGAATGATCGATTGTTATCATATCTTGTGGTGCTCGACGTATTTCTCTTCGACCTGTGGCCGGTTGAAGTGCTCGAGCTGACCGAGGAAGAAAAAAACCCACCATGACTAAGGCCCCGGGCTGGGTGGTCCACCATGATTAAGGCCTCCGGGCTGGGTGGATGAAGTAGACAAATCCATCATGACTAAGGCCTTCGGGCTGGGTGGTCGAAGACAAAAAAATCGACCATGACTAAGGCCTCCGGGCTAGGTGGTCGTATGTGTCGACCACCCCTCCGAGGGTGGGCATGCGCTCGAGCAGGTTGATGTTGATCCTTGCTTGATTTTGTCGAAATTGTCTTTCAACCTCGGGGGAAGGTCGATTTAAACAACTACGAAGTTGTAACTCGAGTGGATTCTCGAATAGGATACGAAGCCTACGACTACGAAGTCGATTCAAATAACTACAAAGTTGTAACTCGAGTGGAATCTCGAATAGGCTACAAAGCCTACGACTACAAAGTCGATTCAAACAACTACGAAGTTGTAACTCGAGTGGATTCTCAAATAAGCTACGAAGCCTACGACTATGAAGTCGATTCAAACAACTACGAAGTTGTAACTCGAGTGGATTCTCGAATAGGCTACGAAGCCTACGACTACGAAGTCAGATCAAACAACTACGAAGTTGTAACTCGAGTGGAATCTCGAATAGGCTACGAAGCCTACGACTACGAAGTCAATTCAAACAACTACGAAGTTGTAACTCGAGTGAAATCTAGAATAGGCTACGAAGCCTACGACTACGAAGTCGATTCAAACAACTACGAAGTTGTAACTCGAGTGGATTCTCGACAAGGCTACGAAGCCTACGACTACGAAGTCGATTCAAACAACTACGACGTTGTAACTCGAGTGGATTCTCGACAAGGCTGTGAAGCCTACGACTATGAATTCGATTCAAACAACTACGAAGTTGTAACTCGAGTGGATTCTCGACAAGGCTACGAAGCATACAACTACGAAGTCGATTTAAACAACTACGAAGTCGAAACTCGAGTGGATTCTCGACAAGGCTACGAAGCCTGCGACTACGAAGTCGATTTAAACAACTACGAAGTTGTAACTCGAGTGGAATCTCGAATAGGCTACAAAGTCTACGACTATGAGGTCGACCTCTCAATCAGATTCTCGAGAAAGCTACTAAGACTACAACTATGAAGTCAATATATTGAAAACGATGAAATTGCATATTTTGAATGGACTCTCGAAAAATATCGGCTCAAGGCTAACCACGAACAAGTCTAACTATAGTTACAATACTAGTCATATCGATAAAATGAACGTTAGTGCTCAACTTCGACCAGCTCACAAGAAGGGTTGGGGAGAAGACGAGTTGAAAAACTTTCGTTTATCAGCTATGAAGCTGCTAAAATCGTTGCTCGACTTCGACCAGCGAGCAAGAAGGGTTGGGAAGAATATGAGTAGAAAAACTTTCGTTTATCAACTATGAAGCTGCTAAAATCGTTGCTCGACTTCGACCAGCTCGCAAGAAGGGTTGGAAAGAAGACGAGCTAAAAAACTTTTGTTTATCAGCTATTAAGTTGCTAAAATCGTTGCTCGACTTCGACCAGCTCGCAAGTAGGGTTGGGGAGAAGACGAGTATATTCATTATTGCTTGAGCAGGTTGATAATTTGAATTTGAGCTTTATTTTGTCGAAATTGTATTTCGACCTTGGTGGAAGGTCGAGTATATTCATTATTGCTTGAGCAGGTTGATGATTTGAATTTGAGCTTGATTTTGTCAAAATTGTATTTCGACCTCGGTGGAAGGTCGAGTATATTCATTATTGCTTGAGCCGGTTGATGATTTGAATTTGAACTTGATTTTGTCGAAATTGTTTTTCGACCTCGGTGGAAGGTGTTCATGTGTGATTTTACACCATATTCATATAGTATCTAGAGCTTATTTGTCGCATTATTGGTGTATAAATTGCATTATTGTGCTTAATTCTATAGTTGTTGGAAAGGTATTACACGTGCTTGTTTTGTAGATATTTTCACATATTTGTAGAGCTTTGGCTATTGGAGAAGCATGGTGAGTGCCTAAAACTCCCGGGATGATGATAGATCGATGCACGGATGAAGAGAATGGAAGAAACGAGCGAAACGAGCCGAAAACGAGTGTAAAGTGTTGTGACACGACCCGTGACACGGTCTCTAAGGTCGTGTCACTACCCGTGTCGTCCAATAGAAGAGTGCAAGTGCAGTACATGTGACACGACCTGTGACACGACCTACGACACGGGTGTGTCTAGTCATGTCTGTTTGTTGTGTTTTTGTCCTTAGTTTCTTGTGTTTTATTTTTTTTATTTTGTGGTTCTTAGGTCCGTTTTTTAGGCTCGACCGGTCTGTTTTGTCGTGTTTTGTATATTCGTGCTCTTGTATAGCTTGTTCGTACTTTTGCGCGTTTTCTCTTTGTTTTTGGTGTGATTAGGTCCATTTCATCGCGTACGAGGAGACGAGCCGTCCGAGCCGACCGAGCCGTCCAATCTGGAAATTCCGACCAAACAATACTCGGAGGAAGAGCATTAAAAGACAAATTTTGATCCAAGTTTCGGGCGAATCGGAGTTCGGTGCGAGAAGATAGAGTGAAATGAAGAATCAAGCACGAACCGAGCCCACGCCCGCACGCACGCTCACGCACGCCTACGCACGCCGCCTGCCAGTCGCGTGCTTGCGGAAG